TTTTGGTATCTTGTTCGACATAATTTCACCAGCAGCACATTGGAGGAGTGGTTCGCATGTGCACCTCAAAGTTCTGAGGTTTGGAGTTGAACTCTCATGTTCTCAAGTGTCCGAATGGGGAACTATATTCCACGATGTGGAAACTTTGTTTTAAATGTGCATGTCTTCTTTATCAGCTGTTGTTTGCTGAATCTACCAAGTATTAATTTCGAAAAAGAAAATAAAAAGTGGTACGGACACTAATGCGGCCTACTCATGATCTGTGAGCGTCTTTATGTTTATCTGGTTGTCTGTATCATATTGCCCGTAGGTGGCCAAGGCCCGCACGCTGTGGTCACGAACAAATAAAATTTGTATCTCAATGCACCATTGTACACAGTGATACACTGCACAACAATGATAATATTGCGATAAAGAGTATATCATTTAATTAAATATCTTAAGAAAAGCCAAATATCTTCTGTCATGTTGGCTGCAGTAGCCAAATGCAGCAATTCACTCCTATACCAAAATTAATGTTGTCGTACTTATATGTGAATTATTTTACCACTGTGAAAATCATGATTCAAATCTTTGTAAGAATATATCGTATTCCAGAGGTTGGTTTGTGCGAGCATCACGTTGCTCAGTCATTAAAAATGGATCCATTAAGTTTCCTCACACGCCCCTGCGACCTCATATTCACATCATATATGAATAATGAAGAAAGAGAGAAAATTGGCCACTTGAAAAGATAAAATGTGTTGTCCCAAAGTGTTTTATTGTTCCTCCTGTGACATCTGTTTTAGTCTGATGGCCATCTTGAATGTTTTAGGGAAATCCATCCTTGGTCCTCCACGCCTCTACCAAGAACTGCAGGAACTTCAACATGACCTTTGTGTGGTGGAGGACGTGACGCTCCTGGTGGGCACCCTGGAGGGGACGTACCAGGTACTGGGATCATTTTGTAGATAGTTTTTTTTTTTTTTTCTGTGGCCTAAGCCCTGTCTCCCATAAAAAATATTGCTGTGGCGCCAAGGATCTGTGTTGAAATGAAGCTGTCTTTATTTTGTTATTTAGTAGCGCCATAACCTTGTCTCATAGAAAAAGTGCTTTGCTGCTAACTTGTGGCACCAATCGGCATATGTCATCCTTTTCAGAGTGGTGTCAATAAAAATGGGGGTTTACTCTGTACGTATACCTTCATGACATTTTTGCTGAGTGTGCTGCAGATTCTTCGCATGTAAAATATGTACCTTCACTGCAAGCGCGCCTTCTGTGCGTTCATCGACAAGACTGATGCGAGCATCGTACACGCTATGCCGCCACTTCTCCTGCAGCGTTCAAATCAGGACACTTCCCGGTCGTCTGCCACAGACACAGTCGCGCTGTCATCCATTGCGTAACACGGGCAGAAAAAGCATGGAGGTGATACCTGGCCATCACACAAAAGTCTCTCCACTTAATGGTGGCACCTTTGCCTCCATGTGCTAATAGAGCACAGTGTCCTCGGGAGACTGCTGGACTGCTGGTCAAATCGGCAAAATAGCCAATTCTCTTCAGGAAGTGGATTGGATTCTATTTCATGAGATTCGCCGCAGTCATCATCTCAGATTCTTCCGACGATGTGATACGTTTAGAGGTCATTCAAACCGTGCCAAAGCCGACCCGGGATCTAAAGTTGGGTACATTTGCCATGTGTGTGTTTTGGAATAAGTACTCGGAAAAAGTTGGTACTGGCCTGGCACGGTGACTAAGTGACGCACGCAGGTCGTGTGATGTGATTGATCCTTGCCAGCCATGATAAGATGTATTTAAAAAGGATGAGAAGTAATCTGCAAAGTTAAAATGGAGTGCGCAACATGTTCCGTGACGCACAGGCACACGTGTGCACGTTGATCCGATGCGACACAAAGCCTTCATTTATCATCTTCCAAATGTAGGTTCCAAAATGAGTAGCCCCCTTTTTCAAACTGCGTCACGTGCATTTGATGATGCCACTGCGTGCCATTTGTTCTCAACGCTTGCAACAAGTTGTAACTCATGTTTACTTTTGTCTGCCTTCAAAGAACCTGAACACCACGGTGGCCCAGGACTGGTGTCTGGCTCTGCAGAGACTCATTCGTATCAAAGAAGAGCAGATTCAGAGTGCCAACAAATGTCGCTTACGCCTGCAGCTGCCCGGCAGGCCAGACAAGTGAGTACAAGAACACATATTGTGGCTTTGGCTTCCACATTTGGATCAGTCATTCTCTTCGATTGTGGGACGGGTACCACCAAGTACATTTCAATTTTCAAACTGTGTAGATTGTTTTTTTTGTTGTTGTTGTTTTTGGTTTTTCATCTACCATACTGTTTGGTCACATGACATTTGGTAGACATGACATTTTTGGTACACATGTTTGTCAAGGCCCAAGAAGCCATGCCTGAAAAGTTTTGGAAAGTCCGCTGTTTTGTTTATGAAACACCAATTATGCCCAAAAAGAACCCCCCCCCCCCCTCCCCATTTTATTCATTCATTTATTTATCTTATGAAGTCTCTGCATTCGGATTATTTTGTCCATATCCAGGGTCCTGAAAAGAAAACGTGTCCTTGTGATTTTTAAAAAGTTCAGCCAAAAAGTGTCAAGCAGTCATCCCCCAAAAAACTCTTTCACTTTATCGTGATTTTGGACATTTCCAGTTCCTCGAAAGAACTTCAACTAGAGGTTTTGTCAGACTACTACCAAATTTCAGACAACTATTGGCAGAAAAAAAATGGCTTTGATAAATTGCAGAAAGTATTTTTTGTCATTGTGTGAGCATGCCAGTAAAGGTAGAATACATATGACGACATGGCTCTTTGATTGGGTTAGGGTTGGTTTTTTGTTTTCAGTTTCAGTTATTAGTGTGGATAAGTGCTCTAAATTGCTTCACAAATTGTGAACTGAATTGTAAATGGGTTGTGTGACTGCCCGTGTGCACACTTTGAGACAAGCGCAGCTGACAAAAAGGCTATTTTGGGTGATGCAGGAAGCAGAAAATTGAAATAATGGCAGCTGATAATGGATCCAATTTTCTGTCCTCTGGTGGGCGCAAGAGCAAGACTGCGGCATGGCGAGGGCCAAAGAAAAGACACCGCTTGCGATGTAGACGCTTGAGTCTTTCTGAAAGAAATTATCAGCCCCCGTGCAGAGCCGAGCAAACACATCAGCTTTATCCTCGTCTCCCGCTTTCCTTGTCCACTGTCACAGCAGACCTACTGGGCCGATCTGCTTAGTCATGTGTTTGATGACGCCAGATGTTCTCCTCACATGAGTGTCCCTGGATTGCTTTGAAAGGGAAGGATTGCTCTTCATTGAGAGGGGTTTCACACCCAGGCAGCATATTTCCAGGGACCCACTCATAAATTAGCACGGGGTATATGCAGTAGACTATAAATTGGGCCTACCGTCAAAAGCACATGGATCCTCGGCGATTTCTGCACTCCGGTTTCAGAACCTCAATAGTTTAATTCAAACGAATACGCAAAAAGTCAAAAACAAAAGTCCACTAAACGCACAATCTTGCATGAGCGCATCGTCAGCCACCGTGTTGTATGTCTCACAATTACCGTAATAACCGCAACCTTGCACGGTACAAATAAAAAGAACAACGAGAAATCCTCAACGGCGCCAAAAGTTTATGTCACCCTCGCACACAGCCATTGTGATGGCACACCTCAAGCCCTAAATGCAGCCGGGATTGATTCTCCACAAAGATGACCGCAAAGTTGGTCTGGGGAGGTAGAAGCCAACAAAACCGACATTTCTTGCCTGGTGATAGAAGCAACCCTGCATGCGTGCTCACGACGTAATTGTGCTGGGCTGGCCTCGCACCCTGCCGCTGCGAGTGTGTTGGGTGGTGACAGGTTGCGCAGCGGGCACAGCAACCTATTCTGACGCCACCCAGGGTGCAGTGATGGCAGATTGCAAAGGGAGCGTCGAGCAGCAGGCAGGCTCACAGCGCCGCACAAACAAACTCACTTTTGCTGGCCGTGTTGCGGTTTTTTATTTTTTTGTGGGGGGAAGTAACAGCTGGGTTTACAAAACGCTGAGAATTTAAGAAGTGGCAAAATACACATTCTAAACTGAAATTTCTTTTAAAATCAAATGTAAAATACTCGGGAAACATATTTGGAACAGAACCCAAATTTCATGCGATTTCGTGTGGTGTTGCACTCGATGAATGAATAACCCAACCTGAGCTTCAGCTACGCCGACATCCCATTTGTGGGCCTTAGCTGTTGGTTTGCGGCAGTTGCTGCTGTACTGCGTTTCCAAAATTCCCTAGCTTGACTTCCCATTGACATTTCCTGCATATTTCTCGCCTTCGTAACAATGTACAAAGGCCTACTTGGCATCATGCGTCTCAAACAACTCGGCGAATGACACGCACAGAGCATGGGACCACAGTTGGGGACTTCTCTGTACCGAGCGGCTCCTTTCCTGTCTGGCCGCGAGCGACGCTCTGTAGTCAGGCTGGCACACCACAGACTGCACACCGCAAACAGAGCGAGTACGTGGGGAGAATCCCGACTCGCCTCCTCAAAGGCAGCGAGTGGCCTCCGTGTGACAGTGGTTCATTAATATGCCCTCGTCTCGCGCCGCTGCGGGAGCCACCGATACTCACTTCAAATTTCACCCAACGCTACCGTCGCTTTATCTTCCATTTGCTAATGGCGCCTCATTGGGATTTCATCCAGGCAGAGAGGCTCGCCCAAATAATGTCGCCCTCGCCACATCGGAGGCTCCTTGTGATCTTATCTCGGTGACCGCGCACCGCCGTGACTTTTCGCCGCGACTCCCGTGTGGAGTCGAGAGGTGCGGATGAATAAATGGACTCCCGTCCTCCACTTGCAGCCATCTGATAGTTCAGTGAAAGGAAATAGAACCAGTGTCTGTCACAGGTACTCTAGATTCGATGAGTACTTCTGCACAACTCTTGGGGCCTGATTTAGTGAAGGTCAAGCAGGAGGAATGAAAAGATGAAACACGAAAATGAAACAACATTGACTGTCAAGTTCAGCGTTGAACAAATCTATCTGTTCGAAACAAAATTCTGCTTCACTCTGTATGGCGATGGAAACACTTAGTAAGCCTGCACTCGACAGCCCTGAGGGCTCTGGGACTCTCAAAGGCTACCGAAAGGTCTTGAATATACTTCGGTCCAAGCCCGACAGTAAGATCTTAAAATCTCTTCTTTGATTCTGGGACCGGCGTGATGTGGTGCAGTGTCATGGTACCAATAAGAATCCGAGCAGCGGCATTCTGGACCGGTTGCATATGATGTATTGATTTTATTTTATTTTATTTTTTTGTTGTACTAAAGATGGTCTTCTTCTTGGGCTGAACTGAGCTCCTGTCCCAACGTACAAAGCCCTTAGACCAGTTGAGATGCAACACTCTTAAACATATCGTTTTGCCTCCAGCGTAACCTGTTTTAATTGGATCCGCGACCATCCTTGTATCCGAAAACACTCGTATCTCGAATCATCGTTCCCCATTGAAATGAATAGAAGTGCCATTAATCTGTTCCACCCTCTGAAAAAAAACACACAACAAACTTTTGTAAATGAGAAGAATAGGACTCTATAATATTGTACCTATAGTAATGACATAATTAAATAGATTTTAAGATTAACATTTTTTGCGTTACTTCAATGGACATTGTGTTTCTCCTTCTGCTGTGTTTGGCCTGGTGAACTAAGGGCAATATGATACATAAATACAGATAAACACAAAGACGTCGCAGCGACTCAGTGCGCTACAGTTGTGTTGGTCATTCATTGCAGAGGATAAAGAAGATACTTGTGTGTATTGGAATTTTATCTGTCTGCGTGGTTTGTGCAACCTTTTCTGTTCAAATAGCCATTGCTTTTGAATATTGTTCACTATCTGTTGTGGGATTGAGTTGCGTTTACTGCCAATATACAATTTTTGCTTGCAAGTTAAAGCAAAGGATTGACTGAATGGCAGCTTGTATCTCGAAAAACTGATTAGTCAGATCACTTTTATCTCAGAGCACCACTTTTCTTCCTTGACACCATTTACTATTTTCCCATTAGCCAGTGCTTTGGCGCTTTGTCGTGGCATCTTCGTAACAGGAAGAGCACAAAATTATGCGGATAGTTGTGGTGAGGTTCCTTTTTCTCTTTTTCACCACCTCACTGAGATTTGGTTGTACAGAAAAAAACAGAACAAACCACAAAAAGACTGGGTTTCACTATATATTTCTATTTGTCCGCCAATAAAACTGTGTATCAAGTAAGTGCGTGCTAACTCGACAGCCCCCCAGAAATAGCTGACGGCACTTTGCCCTGCCAATCGGCAGCCCAATAAAAAATTGACCAAAGCGCAAGTTTTGGGAAGGACGATTTGAGGGAGACGCGGTCAAAGATCAAGTCGCTCTCTGTTTTCACCTGCGTTGCATTATTAAAGAAAGCGGCCATAAAGTGGTCTGCATGCATTATTTGGTGACCCCACCCAGAGACAAAATGGAGATGGGGGGTGTGACTTTTAGCCCCGGCAAAGACATCCAATGCGAGTTCTTGCATTAACTTTTCATAATGTGAGTAGAGGAGGCAGAAAATAATTCAGCGCCGGTGCCAGCAGGTCAATGGCTGCGGGCTGCTTTCACTCCAAACACTGCCGCAACTTCAAGACGCCTCCAACTTGGAAGCTTTGCCACGCTGCTGCTATTCTTCCAACCAACCCCCGCCCTGCGACCACAAACATAAAAAGAAACAGGTGCGGCGTTTTGACAGGCCGATATGAAGATATTTGAGGGAGACGCGGTCAAAGATCAAGTCGCTCTCTGTTTTCACCTGCGTTGCATTATTAAAGAAAGCGGCCATAAAGTGGTCCGCATGCATTATTTGGCGACCCCACCCAGAGACAAAATGGAGATGGGGGTGTGACTTTTAGCCCCGGCAAAGACAGCCAATGCGAGTTCTTGCATTAACTTTTCATAATGTGAGTAGAGGAGGCAGAAAATAATTCAGCGCCGGTGCCAGCAGGTCAATGGCTGCGGGCTGCTTTCACTCCAAACACTGCCGCAACTTCAAGACGCCTCCAACTTGGAAGCTTTGCCACGTTGCTGCTATTCTTCCAACCGCCCCCGCCCTGCGACCACAAACATAAAAAGAAACAGGTGCGGCGTTTTGACAGGCCGATATGA